AAATGTGCACTATATATATATATATATATATATATATATGCACTTTGTGATTGGCATTGTCCCGTTTTTGACCGTAAGAACACTAGAAACGTTACTGACACAACATGGACATATTATAAATAGGGAACGGACTAAAAGGATAAAAAACGTATAAGCATCCACGATATAGCATAAAAAACAGTAGTGGTAACATTGTGCCTGCCCACGACAAAACTACATCGGAAGCTTTTATATGATTTTATAGGAGTGATATATTTTTACCATGTACATTACGAGTTGGCGCTGGTTTGCTTCAGATGATATTCTCGGAGGTGATGCTTAATCCATTGATGAAAATGGTCGATCTGGAAGCTCTGGCTGCGGAGGGCAAGAGCCGTGACATTCTGACGGTCGTCGATGCCACTTTTGTGTCGCCCACGTTGCTTCAGCCTCTAAAACTCGGCATAGACATAGTTGTCCACAGCTGGTACACGGCTATTGTCTTTGTCTCCACTCTCTTACGTCTCCTGGCTGTTTTCTACAGCCACCTTTCACCCATAAATACTACCCCAAGGGTACCCCAATACTTGGGGTAGTATCTATGTTTCACCTAATCTCACTGTATTAATTAATACCAATAACGACTCACACGATATTTCTGATGCAACTGGATGTTCGTATGGCGACGTATATCATCCGTTTTGCTTGTTGCAAGAACTAAAACAACGTTCGATAACAGCAGCGAAAATTACGGCCCGTTTAGAAACAGTAGAACAATTATGATTCGGTCACTTTCGCTGTACAGCTCAAAGTACATGGGTGGACACAGTGACGTCATTGCTGGCTGCGTGACGACAAGCACGGTCGACCAATGGAAGAAGCTGCAGACCATCGCAAATATCTGTGGAACATTAGTGGTATGTTCTTCTCCGCCCGCACACGAATACCGCCTATTTACTCCCTCTGCATTATTTACTGTGTGTGAAATACCTACGAATAACGAAGGAAGTGTGACGTTTGAGGTTTTACCAGGTCCCTTGCGTTCGGGGTGCACCTGGTAAGCGGTTGTTAGCCAACACAAACATGCTATTTCGGCGCCTCATATATATATCAGACTAAACATTTAAATAAATAAATAAAGAGATTAGTTAATTAATATAAATAAATTAATATATAAATGAATACATAAAACCCAAACAACTATCTAATTGATTGAATAACTAAGAAATAATGGCCTGCATTTATGTGTCATCGAATAAAAAACACTTTGAAATACTGTTTTGTTAACGCAAATCTCCATTGATTTTGATTTTTTTCAAAGTCGCCCTTTTCAGCCAGTATACTGCAAAGAGGGCTGAAGACTCTACCACTACGTATGGCAGTGCATTCTCAAAACGCAATGAAACTTGCTGAGTTTCTTGAAGATCACCCTAAGGTACGCGTTACTCGTAAGATGATAAAGCTTACTATGTGATACGCTGGATTTCATTATTACATTTTTAATTTCAGCGCACATATATATATATATCAGTAATAATACTAATAATAATAATAGTCCATTATTATACACTCCTGATATATATATCCATCTAGTAACTGTTGCTCAAACGGGAATGAGATTGTTTTTATGTGGCTCTAGAATATAAGTTCTTATACCTGTTTATCCTGGATCAGACTATCACTCACTAGCAATAGAAGAAATGTCACTCCCAGCTCCGCTTACGAGTAATGTAATTTTCATCGTGAACGTGAGATACAATGATCTAACACAAACCATGGCAAACCCCAGTGTAACCTACAAAGCGCCTATATCATTTTTGGCAAAGATTACGATAAATGAATACTGAATTTTTACTGACTGCGTCTTTATTGCTATGTACATCAAAGCAAGTGTGTTATTCAGTTTTTGTGTCGACAACTGTTGTATTCTATTAAATGTACCATATATACGGTGATAGCTTCTTGCTGAAAGCTTGGTATTTCATGTTCTTCGTAGATCTCTCGCGTGATGTACCCAGGTCTGCCGTCGTTCCCCAATCACGACGTCGCAAAGAAACTCCTGACTTCTGGTTATAGCGGCATTATGTCGTTTGAAGTTGCGAGTGGCTATGAAGGTGCAAAGATTTTAGTAGAGGTAAGCTCAAAAGCAATATCAAGCAAACACTTATCAGCGATGCATTAGGTCTACTGTCACAGTGGCTAAACATAACTCGCCCCGTTCACTATAACACCCGACTTCTCTCGTTACACGAGAGAAAGTACTTACACGACCTTAGAATGGCATAATAATATTGTTTCACGTTTGCTAAAATCTGAACGAGACAATTTCGCCAGTGTGTGTGTGTGTGTGTGTGCGTGTGTGCGTGTGTGTGCGTGCGTGCTTGCGTGTGGTGTGTGTAACTCTTTCGGTTCTTGCAGAGCCTGCGCCACGTTGCGCTGGCCGTGTCGCTTGGAGGAACGGAGAGCCTGATCGAGATACCAGCGGTGATGACACACGGTCCCCACGTCATGACAGACGATGACCGCGACTCCGTGCAGATCTCTGGCGGTCTCGTGCGGCTGAGGTGAGAGCGACAGCTGATTGTGCTTGTGATTGTGCTGTGCTTGTGCCTGTGTTGTGATTGTGCTTGTGCGGTGATTGTGCTGGTGCTGGTGCTTGTGTTGTGATTGTGTTGTGCTGTGTCCAGTAATCTGGTGAAAGTGGTAATCTCGTGGCGAAGTAATGTTGTGACAACTGAGGCAGGGTGACGTGGGGAGAGCTAATGCGTGACAATTATGGTTGGGTGACGTGGGAGTGCGGAGATGAGAACTTAGGTAAGCTACAGATTAACGCGGGATACACTACAGGGTTAGGTGGCATGGCGAAGTATTGCGGTGAGGTATATGTAGATAAACATAGGTGACCCAAGGAATAATATGGTGACAATTATAAGCTCAAGTGACCAGAGGAGTATTGCTGTGACTGATTAGGGCTAGGTAACTTTGGAGGTAATGTACTGATATTGACTTAGGGTTAGGCAATATGGGAAGTAAATTGGTATTAATTGGAAAACGAGGACCTGGAGTTAATGTTATGACGTATAATGAAATAATAAGCGAACACCTACCGCCTGATATATATGTGCTGTGTGGTTTTCCTTGTTTGTGATAGCAGCTAGTATCTGTAACTTTTTTACGTACTATGTTGCACTGCAATGTTGCTTGACTGACTTCAATCGTTTCAGTGTTGGTATTGAGGACATAGAAGACCTGAAACACGACTTCATTCAAGCCTTGGACAAGATCAAGATTTAGATTTACTAACAGCAATAGAGTAGTGACGGTGTTGATTTCATTGCACTGACACTAAGATGTATATGAAACGTGATTATGAAACGTGATATGAGACGTGACAGAAAATCGCATGATCTATAAAACCAACGGTCTATTTTCGAATGGAAATATATTCATTAGAGACAATTATTATCGATTGTATCGATTAATGCTGAAAACGGTTGCTGTGTGGCATCTAAATCAGTGCATTGCTGGTCACGTGTTACCATTCTCAGGTGAATTATCGTTGATTTATTAGCAATTTATTAGTAAACACCCATAAAATATACACCATTCATATGGATATAATTTACTACTAATAACCGACTTTACTGTTATTATAAAATGCCTCGGTACGTAACATAACAAAACGCGCAAACAAACACATTTCACCCTGAGGGACGTCCACACGTTCCCAGCTGTAAAAACACGATGAGCAATGATCAGGCCGAGGGCTTTCGACAGCTAAGAACATGAGAAATTGCTGAATGATTACAAATTCAGTCTAACAAGTTGACATGAAACCTTACAAACTAACCACATGCTATCGCTAAGCTTGTGATTTCCAGGTATTTTTCACGCATATCCATTACTTGTCCAGTACAACAAGTAGTTTTAATATTATGTTACTATAGCGACTATGCAACATAAGCCCAGGGGAAACATCACGTCTCTAGCATTAAACCCACACGCTCTAATAAATAAATAAATCTTATATATCGACTGATTAAACGTCCTTTGGGCTCAGAACGAGGCTAGTTATATAATTTCTGTACAACCATCAATCGATATATCTTGGAAAAAGTAGGACATACGTGATTTGTGGCATAGATTTCTTCACAATCTCCTTTCCCTCTACCATAAGCAAGTTAAGGAATATATTCTTTAATTATTTCTACTTGACCCTGGATTGCAGCAATGGCAACCACATGACAGCGATACTCATAGCGCTCCACTCTTGCTACAAACCAACATTATTTATATTCCAACAATTCTACCACACATACATGTCTTGTCACACAAGTCAACAAAATCAACAAACGTTTAGCCACTCCTTAACAAATCCGATTTACACGTGTGACCTCCAGTTTCTCTACGTCTTTCCTTTCTTCATCCCACTCTCCTTTTCATTCTTCCATTTCTCTCTCTCCCTCTTTATAATTTCATCTTCTCTCTTTTATTTCCTCTTCTCTCGCTCACGCTTGCTCATTCCTTCTCCCTCTCTCTCCCTTCTCCGTCCGTACATTACGTGATTATTCCTTCTCCCTCTCTCTCTTCCTCGTCGCGTAAATTACGTGGCTCATTCCTTGCTCCTCTCTCGCGCTTCTCCGTCCGTAACATTACATGCTTTTCTTCTGTCCTTTCTCTCCCCTTTCTCCGTCGTCATTACGTGCTTATTCCTTCTCCTCTCTCGTCCCTTCTCCGTTCGTACATTACTGCTCCTTTCTTCTCCCTCTCTCCGCTTCTCCGTTCCGTACATGTAGTGGCTTATTCCTTCTCGCTCTCTCTCCTTACTAGCCGTCGAAGTACATTACGTGGATTATTTCTTCTCCCTCTCTCTGCCTTCTCTCCGTCGTACATTACGTAATTATTCGGCTATCTCCAGCTCTCTCGCCTCTTACCGTCGTACATTACGTGCTGCATTCTTATCCTCTGCTACGCCCCGCTTCTCCGTCCCGCTACAGTGCAATACACGTGCTTTATTCGCCCGGATCTCCTGACGCACGTCTCTTCACTCACCTTTGCTCGCGATATTCCGGTGAGCAATTTATTACGTTGGTCAAATTCCTTTCTGAAATTTACCCATTCTGCACCTCAAGCATGCTTGTACTATCTCTCTCTCTTCCTCAATTCCACATGTAAGTGATTACTTAAACACAATTCATCCGCTTCCTCCCCTCTCTCAGCGCCACGCATACATAGCCCTTCTCCGTCGTCCTTACGTTGCTCATCTCCGTTCTCCCTTCTCCTTCTCGTCCAATAAGCATTAACAACGATGCTTATTCCTGTCCCTCTGCTTTCCCCTTCCGTCCGTAACACTGATATCTAAAAGCTCGTTTTCATCCTCCATTACTTTGTATGCATACAGTCCTAGAATGAAAGGCCGCGCTCATGACGGCTAGATGATTTTGGCCACGTAATTTCCATCAGACGAGCTCATAGCCATCTCCCGCTGGAGCAATGACAAGAGATATCCGATGTAGAACTAGGTGTACATGCCCATAAGCCCGATTGCTAACCTACTGCCCGATGAGCCGCCCGACGCCTGTCATGCGCCGATGTGACGCCGTCGTTCCAGTCGCGCAAATGTATGACCGCCCATGCTACCACACTCCACCACAGCTGTCCGCCCCTTGTGTGGTGCCGCGCGGAAAGTCTCGCCCTTGGTGCTGCATGGCGCCTGCTCCTATAAAGAAAGTAAATATCCACCGTGTTTATTTTTATTAAGTACTCTATCCTTTATTCTATTTATTTTATTAAATAGTTTGTAAGTTTTATATTTAACAAATAACATACAAAAGTACACTCGATACTCCGCAGCCATCGCGTCACGATTTAACTGAACAGCCGACCGAAATGCAATCGGCAGTCATCCTAGTGTCACGTACTCGTTGCAGTGGAATTTGGCGAATGAGGATTTAGTAATGTAACGGCACTAGTCGCGTTGCCCGTCGTGTTTTCCCTGGGCTGCCCCGCCTGCGCGACACCCTTTTCAAGTAAATTACTCGTGCCGGGTCGCAGCAACTTCATACGACGCCTGCGCCGCCGTCCTCCCACTGTCCTGCCAACACACAGTTTTTATTGTGTAGCCTTCTTTTCATTGTTTCGTCTTTTATCTCCTCCCCTTTTTTTCTGCACTTGTCGTTTATCTTTTTTGTCGCCCTTTCCCTTTTGCTCTTCCTGAGGCTATTCGCATTGCCCCACGCGCAAATTGTTTTGCCCCCTTTTTGCGCTTCTGCCCAGATAAACATTTCACCCGTTTAACCCTGGTTGCCTTGAGTTTGGTAACGCTGTTTAATCCAAACGCGCCTCACGCACGGTGATTATGAATGACGAACCTGTTCATGGTGTATAAACGGTTCTCAAGGCCACAAAAAACTCCCGCCCGGCCAAAATCACCGGCCCTTAACCCCGGACAATTAACATTAACCCCTCGGACAATTACCCCCCTGCATTTAACCCCCGGACCTTTACGGCCTTGGACAATTACCCCGGACCATTAGCCCACTCTCCGGACACTTTACCCCCGGACAACTTCCAGGGCCCCGGACTTTACCCCCGAAATTCCACCGGACATTTACTCACGTTGGTGTTTATTTATTACATTGTTGAAAGTGATACAGGACAAGGAGGATCCGAGGAGGGAAGCAAGGTGTGGAGGAGGAGGGGACGAAGGTTGGGGAGAACGTTGGTGGGGAATGAGGAGGGGGTAGAATGAAGGTGGAGAAAGGAGGAAGAGGGGGATGAAGGTGAGGAGGAGGAAGAGAGGAGGAGAGGAGGTGGAGGAAGAGAAGGGGGAAGAACGTGTGGGGATGAGGAGGGAAGAAGTGGAGGAGGAGGAGGAGGAGGGGGAGAAGGAGTAGAGGAGGAGGGGAGAGGAGGAGGTGGGTAGGAGGAGGAGGAGGAGAGGAGGGTGGAGGAGAGGAGGGGGAGAAAGTGGGGAGAAGGTGAGGAGGAGAAGGGGGGGAGGAGGAAGGAGGAGAGGAGGAGTTAGAGGACGAAGGAGAAGGTAGCAGGAGGAGGAAGAAGTGGTGGGGCGAAGGAGAAGAAGAGGAGGAGGGGGAGGCGGAGAGGAGGAGAAGAGGAGGGTGGAGGAGGTAGAGAGGGGGGAGGTAGCGGAGGACGCAGGTGGTGGAAGGAGGGGAGAAGGTGGTGGTGAGGAGGAGGAGGAGGTGGAGGAGGAGGAGGAGGAGGAGAGGGGTGGAGAGGAGGAGAGGAGGAGGAGGAGAGACTGAGTGGGGGAGGAGCGAGAGGTAGATGCGAGAAGGAAGGGGAACATGGGGAGGAGGGTAGGCGAGAAGAAAGGGGGAGGAGGGGAGAGGATGGAAAGGAGCGAGGAGGAGGAGATAGGTGGAGAAAGGAGGAGTAGAGGAAGACGAGAAGGAGGTGGAGGAGGGAGGAAGTAGAGAGGGGCCTATGACCTCTCTACCTCATCACTCCCATCTCCTCCTCTCGCACGCTTCTCCTTCTCCGCCACCTGGCCCTCCGTACCTTCTCCCCTCATCTCCTCCTCCTCGCACCTATCTCCCTCCTCCTCCAGCCACGTTCTCGCCCCTCCTCCTCCTTCACTCTCCTCTGCAATTCTTTCCTCTCCCTCCTCCTCTCCTCCCCACCTACTCCGCCCGTCTCCTCTTCTCCCAACCTCTTCTCCCCCGCCTCCTCCTGCCTGCCGCCGACGGCTTTCTCCCACGTTCTCCTTTTCTCCCTCCACTCCTCTCCTCCTCCTCCCTCCTCACCTCTTCCTCCTCTTGCCTCCTCCTCGGCCACCACCTGTTTCCACCCTTCTCCCTTCGCACCACCTTCTTCCTCTCCTCGAACGTCCTGCCTGTATACTGTTCACAATTGAAATCATAAAACACAAGTGAGTAAATGTCCGGGGGGTAATTGTCCGGGGAGGAGTAATGTTCCGGGGGGGGGTGATTGTCTGGGGGGTAATGTCCGGGGGGTAATTTTCCGGGGGGTAGTTTGTGCGGGGGGTAATTGTCCGGTAAATGTCGGGGGTAAATTGTCCGGGGGGTAAAATGTAGCGGGGGTAATCTGTCCGGGGGGTAATTGTCAGGGGTAATTGTCGGCGGGGGTAAATGTCGCGGGGGGTGAATGTCCGGGGGGGTAATGTCCGGGGTAATTGTCCGAGGGGTGATTGTCCAGGGGGTATTTGTCCTGACACCGTACTAACATAGGATGTTCCCTATTAACTTTGAAAACAGTGTATTTTAAACTTGCTTCATTAAAATTTACAATCACCAGGTGAACACCTGAGTTATTGTCAGATGTGTAAACGGTTTGTACAAACTTGAATCGTGGCAAAGCAAGCAGTGTGAAGCTTAAATAGTAATTATTACCATACTTCAGCATTGACCTTTGTAGATATTACCACATTATTGTACTGCGCTTTTCAAAATGTGAAATTGGCTCATAGAGTACTAATATCTCATCCGAGTAACATCCCCCACAAAATCTACTGGCAGTGCCCAACATATCAGTATCAATTACAATAATGTATAAAAAATCTCAACTGGATCACTAATAAGTCTCCTATCTGTAGTAAGCAATTCCTTATTGCAAAAACAAGGCACGGACACGTGTTGTCTCTCAAGCTTATGCCACGTATCTTACCGATTAACAACATGATTTTTCTATCGCAGTTAGGAATCATGTCGTGTACTGCGGATAGAAGCTATTAGCGGTGCAATAAGGATTTATTATATCACAATTTTTATTTTCACTGATTTATGGCAACTGCCAGTGAGGAAATCTTGTTGGAGTGGGCAGCTGTGGGAGACAGAGCAGGTGGCTGACATCAAGCAAAGGTCGATGCTAATGAAATCCGTGCTGTTTGAGAAAAAGTATGCAGCATACATCTGTCAGCAATCATCTCCTGAATGTTACCCTTGCTCTATAAGACTAGGTAGATAAAAGACCTCAGACGGTGGCACCTCCAAATGTGAGGTTTGCTAAGTATGAGTGAGTAGATTCCACATCTTTGGAGAGAGACACCTAAAGAAACCAACTAAACATGGCACTGAGTCAGCTTCCCCATCTCTGGCTCTACTGACCAAAAGTACAAGTCTGGGAAGAAGGCATGAGAATACCTTCCTAAGTTTAATATGGTTCTAATGACAGAGAACCTATGTTGTGACCTATTTCACCTACTGTGCCTGAGTACCTGCCTGAGTGCATTGTGTGTTTGTGAAGCTGAAAAATGTGTTGTAGTACAACACATTTTTCAGCTTCACAAACACACAATGCACTCAGGCACCTAGGAACGCACACATACACCCATACACCCAGGCATTAATGTATGCACGCATCCACTCAGACAGGTATGCACGCACCACACTCATGCATGCAAGCAGGTACGCACACACGCATGCATGCAAACACACACGCACTCGCTCTCGCATTCATTTTCACTCGCACTTACTTTCCACACTTCTCAATTTCCCCACCTTTTTCCACACTCTCACTCGCACTCCCTTCTTACATGCTCGACTGCCTCTCCCCTTTCCCATTATCCGCTGCACCGCCACCATGCACCCGCCCCGAGCTTGCCTCTACAAGCCTCCCACCTAGCTCACCCATCCTCCAACCCCACTGCTACACCCAACATCCACTCCACCCCCAGCTCAACCACACCTTAGTCCCCACCCGACACGCCACCCGACACCAGCGTCACCGCCACCCCACCTCACACGCCAATCCAGCCACCCACCAGACTACCACGCCAGCTCACACCAACCGCTACCACACCCACACCCCACCCCAGCTCGCCCCACTCCCACACCCCACCACCAGCTCACCCACACCCCACCTCCACCCCACCCCCCACCCCAACCTCCACCCCACCCCACACCCACCGCTAGCTCACCTTGGTGTCGTCAGTGATGATGTGATGTGCGGCGAGCGAGTTATGCTTCAGCGTCTGTGCGAACGTCAGCATCTCCTCGGCAAGCTTCTCCTGCGCACGCTCGTGGTGCCGCAGGAGCACGTCGATGTCCTCCGTGCCTTCCTCCTCCTCCTCCTTCTCCTTCTGTCTCCCTCTGTGCCGGAGCCCACCGCCAGGGGACCCTGTGAAACCGCAGCGACATCGTTGTTGAGAATTGTTGTGAACACGAGTTCACCACTCCGCGGTTCCACTGATGACAATCGAAGTGCTCTGAGCAGGGCCTTGCCCCCCTCGAAGCTCACAGAGGGACCTCTTGGGGAGGTATAGCTTCTAGAAATTCTAGAATTAGGTTACCCCTGAACGTACAGGAAATGAGGCGTGGATGGAGGTACCAACATAGAATTCTCAGATAAATACAACAGCAATTCCATGGACTCTTGATTAGATACATTTTTTATTTTGAGGTACTTTACTAAGTTTCAACTGCGTAGCTTTCACGACATACTCGAATACCCAGGCCAAAAAGCACAAACTGGAACACTCTGATCGTCCACTGTACCGCCCTCACTCCTGCTACGAACACACCCTTAGCACACGAAAATCCCTGATCGATACAGTGGCGCCCTCTGGGGGTGTGGCTCACCGTCGGTTCTGCCTAGCAGCTCGTCCCGCATCTGCTGCGTGTAGTGTGATGTCTTCTGCAGATGCAGCTCCTCGGTCGCCGTCAGTCGCTCTCTGTTCGGCATGTGACTCGGCACTAGCAGCTGGCTGGCCAATGCCTTCTCAGACGCGCTGGGCTGGACGGAAACACGAGCAGATGACTTCACAACAGCGTCGAATAAGACGAAAAGAATAATACAGCAGGGGTAGAAAATAACTTTTGAACAAGGGAGTCCCTGCCCTCAAAAAGAGGGAGTCCGCAGTCTGAAGTTCAAACCTAAAGATATTAACAATAACCAATGTGCTTATTTTGAAGATTCACGCGGTTGCGCGTCTGCCAAATTTTCTTTGAACATTTGCTAAAAAATTCGGCAATTCCGCGAGGCCGTGCTCTGGAACGAACTAGTTAGTGTATAGCAGAATTTTCAGGGAGTAACACGGACTCCTGCACATGTCAAATCAGGAAGTCCGACACTAAATCAGGGAGTATTTGACTCCGGACTCGCATTAATTTCGCACCCTGATGCAGTGATACCGTAATACATACAAGTAGGTAAAACAAAATTATTGCATTTACGTAAAATCGCCGATATGTATTCTGTAAATTGAAAATAAACTCTACTCGTGATACAAAACAAAAATTTGCTCATGCATGTTTTAAAAGAATGAGTGCGGTTTTCTACAAAAAACTCTAATGCTGCATGTCTAATCTTGCTGATACGTTTAGAATTTTCCCAGAGCAGCTAATTATTAATAGTTTTGTTGTGATTTACTGTAAGCAAATATTTACCAGTCTGTCAGCCTTCACCAAGCCATTTAGGAAATCTACTCTTCTTGTGTATTCTGTTAGAAGCTCTGGAGTAGAACTGCTGAAAGACAACAATAATATTTCAATTTTGCTGTGCATACACATACATGGGATACTACCAAGAGCATATGAAGTATACTTAATTATTACGTATATTAAGCATACTTAATACGCTCCTGATACCACATATATCCCAGCTTTAAAGGAATTTTCAGTAAGTACATTTTACATTATAATTCAAGAAATGATATCATAGATGGGAGCAATAACGGGTCGATTTTCTATAACATAATTAGCGTGAAAAAGCTTCAAGGATCAAGACTCCATTAACAGATAAATAACATTTACACTAGCATCTGACAAATAAATTTTCAGAACTTTACAAATAATGATTAGCATACTGTACTAGATAGGTTCCAATTAGGGATTAAATCTATACTTGGTCAGTGCCAAAGCAATGATACCTGGGCTGATTACACAGTTCCAACAGCTGCTGCTGCAATGACTCCACATACTGGAAAAAACAAACAATTATGTCATACAATCTACTCCCTAAATTTACTTTCACTTGGCAAAGATGTCTAATTTGATGCATCAAATATCCTAGCAGAGATTTAAATGTATTTGTTTACTTTTCAGTTGTAGATTGTTTCTACAATTAGAAACTTTACATAAAGCATTTTTTGTATCAGCAATGTGTATGCAACATTAACATTTACATTATTGAAAATCCAATTGATATATCGGTGTGTAGCCAACCATGACCAGATGCCACAAAAGCTTGATAAAAGCCAGTGCGAGGCATGACTTCTATTGCATTTTTGCTTCTTCAAGATCCCAAGTTTAATCATACTGCAGAAATAATAATGTGTTTGCTTACAGGGTCGCTCCAAAGACTCCCACTAGTCTGTTACAGAAACATTCTGCACATGTATTATACTACTGTTCTGAAACCCGAAAAATTTTGAATAGCGAAACATATATATGGCCTAATGGTTTCAGTTGAAAGATTGTGGAACTCTACACCTATTGACAAGGTTATTGTTTTAAATCTACTGGGTGGTATCTGATAAATTTCAATGGACGCTCTGTCCACAATACAACTATCCCATAAGAACATTGTCATCAGGTCGATTTCTCGTGGGAATTGTATACTTGCCAGATCAGTATGGATTTGAAAGAATAAGCTTAATTACATAAGAATAATAATAATAATAATAATAATGCTGGAAGTTTGTAAGCTGAGGATGCACTTATAATTTCCACCTATCAATGTTGAGAATTAAAGTCATGATCCCTTTAGCCACTGTCTTTTGACCTCTGACTTTGAAGATGCAGCTCCAACACTTTGATTTTTGCTCTAATTAAAAGAACATAGGTCAAGCTGTTGAGAATAATGCCACAATTGTGTATTTCCTTAACTTTGGTCCTATATTAACGAGCAAAAAGCATTTTCATTGATTTTTTATCGGAGAGCCTGCCTAGACTTCTATCGGTCTATGAACCCTGTAGGTTAAGCTCTTTAGCTTTATTCTGCCACAAATAATGGATCGATATCGACAAGCGCTTATTATATTTTTGTACGTCATCTGAGCTAAAAATTAGGGTTAGGGTTGGGGTTAGGGTTAGGGTTAGGGAGTAGGCGTAGGCAACATATTCGCCGACACCTCGGGTACTATACTCGGGTACATATACGACAAAGACCCCTTCAGCGCCAGTGCCATTTGCCAGTGTCGCAGATAAGGTCTATGTCTCCCTAACCTCTGTTTGACAGCGTGCGAGCTTGGCACTCAATGTCGAGTGAAAATAATATCGGGCAAGTGAAAGCTAAAGCTGACTCGCCCATGTTGGCGAGTAAAAATAATTGTCTTAAACTTTAATCAAATGTTGGTTCCTTACGATATATATCCAAACATTGATGAAATACAGTTGTAGCGATTGTGAAGGCGTTTCATTGATGGGGCAAAGCAGCCCGAGAATAAAAGTAAATTAGATGAAAATGAAAGCAGGAACTTTCAGAGGAGATATGTGCCTTGAATTTTTGAGAAAAGTGATCAATGAATTACATGTGTAGTTAAATCAATGATGTTTTTGTGTTTTTTCACTATTGTTTGACATGCGTTTTTGTTTTAAAATTTGGGCGAGTACAGATTCCGTTTGGGCGAGTTAACTTATTGACTCACTCGCCCAGTTTGGCGAGTGGTTTTTATTTTAAAGCTCTGGTTTGACCTGGCTCGTTTAGCTATTTCTGACTAATAGTAATATTATCAAGAGCAGATAAAGAAGAAGAGCGTACAAGGGTAAAATGCTGAAACCATGCTGCAGTATTAG